CCCCCCGCCCCCCCACACCCACCCACACACACACACACACACACACACACACACACACACACACACACACACACACACACACACACACACACACACACACACACACAGCATCAGTCCTCAGGTGATTTTCTGATTTCATGTTACCGCAGCGCAATCGCTGGCCTGCTCGCGCCGTGTTTACCTTCGTGACGGCGGCCGGCGGCGCAGCTCGGTCCGGTGAGATCCCGGTGCTTCACGCTGCTCTCCTCCGCCATCTTGTCCCCCGTTCAAAATAACCGCACGCGGGGCGCCTGACGTCACGAGCGCCGCGACACGCCCCCTGCGCGCTCTGAGCTGACGGAACAACAGTCTTAAAGCTTTCTGACCAGCATGCACCAGAATGCGCTTCTAGTGTGAAAACAGGAAAATGGGGGTGCTGTAACCGTCAGATACATGATATCCAATCAGCTCACCTCATCTTCAGCAGGTGCTGCTGTTCAGTGTGTCTTTAAAGTAGATCTTCACTGAATAACATGAAGAGCAAACACTGACACGCACTGTACACTGAGATCGACTTAAACTCCTTGATACAGACTCTGTGTGTTATTGTGTTCATGTTTAAGATGCGAGCAAGAATACACATTTCCCTGAATATCCAAACGATGGCAAATGTGCCATTCATTTTTACAACAGCTCAACAAAACAGGTAATATTAAGTGAACATTTCACATTTGAAATGTAGCCTATATTTTGAACAGAATATTGTCATGTTTGTTCTATTTTGCAACGAAATAATAGCTCCAACGAAATCCGTATCATCTGCGTCTCCAAGCATCACACGGCAGTGCTTCAGTGAGTCAGTGATTAATAACTCATTCATAACTACAGCATGTTGCTTCCTGACTGAATGACTGACTGACTGACTGAATGAATGAATGACTGACTGACTGAAGGGCTGACTGACTGACTGACTGACTGAATGAATGACTGACTGAATGACTGACTGAAGGACTGACTGACTGACTGAAGGACTGACTGAATGACTGACTGAAGGACTGACTGACTGACTGACTGACTGAATGA